TGGGACAGAGAACCTCTAATAAGACTGCCACATAAGCTCATAACTTAACCAAGGTGAGTTGACTAATCTACCCTTATTCGGCTAACTCTAACATCCTGGAAGAGTAAGAAGCAAGCGGTTGTGGCAAGGTCAAGTGTAGAGGCTGAGTATAGATCCATGGCTCATGGTGTCTCAGAACTTCTTTCGGTTAGATCTCTTTTGAGTGAGATTGGGGCGAAAGCAAAGGAACCTATAATGTTATTACTGTGACAATCAGGCTACAATCAATATTGCCCACAATCCAATTCAGCATGATAGGACAAAACACATTGAAGTTGATAGACACTTTATAAGAGAAAGGGTAACAACCGGAGAAGTTGTTTGCCTTATGTCTCTTCAGAGTTGCAACTAGCCGATGTTCTCACTAAAGGGGTGGCAAGGAACAAGCTTAAACATGACCTACGCAAGTTGGGAATGTGTTACATTTCTCCCAACTTGAGGGGGAGTGTTGAAGATTAATTGGTTTTATGATGTTTTTCTGAGTAGATGTTTTATGTTAGTTGTTAGATAGGAGGTGGGGACCATAGTAGTTATGTGAGTCCAAATTTTATAATCTTTTTTGAGTGTTATATATGCTGTTTTATGTTTTGCCGCCCTATAAGGGCATAGTTGTCTTTGTACTGTTCTATTATTTTAGTATAAATAATAAGTGAAGGGGGCGACCAGAATATAGCTCTCTTTTCTTTTCAACTTCTCTTCTTCTCTTCTTCTCCTTCTCTCTTCCTTCTCTCTTCAAGAAACTACTTTCTTTCATATTTTTTTAATTCAGCAGATTCCTACTGGCCCGAAGCGTATACAAAGAGCTTCTGTAAATCTGCCCAGGATACTTGGGGATGAGATCTACGGAACCATTGAAACCATAAAATGGCTTCTCCTTTCATGTGGAAGGATGTGATCAGGACTCTCTGATGACTAGGTGTCTTGTGGAATTTGAAGTACTTCTCAGCCCTGAAGATCCATGGCATAGGGTCATCGCCTCTGAAGATGGGAAAATGCAGTTGAGAGATGACTGGTCTTCCTCTTCCTGTTCCGAACATGTCGCCTCTGCCACTGTCTCTGCCGATTCCTTCTTCCTCTTTGCTGTTGCTCGCAGAGGCTCCCTTTTCCAGTTGGAGAACCACTGCTGCCAGGGTCGTTTTCAGCTCCTAGAGGTTGCTGGACATTTTTTGCATTCCAACCTCCACTCGATCCATACGATCTCCCACATTTTCCAATCTAGTGCTTGGCATCTTGGCTTGCCAGCTCTGATACCAGTTGATATGTGTCTTAGGAGAACTCACCCCTAAAAGCTAGCTGTTAAAGGGAGGGAACCCAAGCACATATATACCATGCAACAGTATCCCATACTACCGATGTGGGATATCTCACATTAGCATCCCATACTACCATTGTGGGACAAAGGGGTTGTAACATTCCACCATGCTCCGCAGTCCCAGTGCCCACTTAGGCTTACTTTGCACTAGTCCACCAAGTCCTGACCAAACACTGCAATACCGACGTCACCACCTGTGCCGCACAATTGCAATTGGGAGGCATGGTGTAGACTCTGATACCAGTTGTTAGGCACCACTTCGAATGATTTCCTCCCTTCTTATTTCCTCTTGACCTTTTATACTGTAGAGAGTATTACATCAAGATCAAGACTCAATAGTTGCATCTCTATTGCAACTGAATTTGCTGATGTGGCTCCTTTCTTTTTCCTTCTAGAATATACTTGATATACTTGTTGTATTATTGGCTTGGCTGCTGGTTCTGGGCTCCTAACATTTGTTTTTGAATATATAATTAATTCAAAATTTTCTTTGCTATTTAACTGAATATTTCATAATTAATTCACTTTTTGGTCTGCATCTTAACATAGTTATGTCTAAGCCTCATCCCAACTTTATGGGGTTGGCTACATGAATCCTGTTTCACCATTCTGTTCAGTCTTAACATAGTTATGTATCAACAGAAATCTTTTTATTATTATGTTGCACTGCTTTCTGTATTTACTGGTGCCCCTACATGTGTTTTCTTCATAATGAATGATCAGCTATTTGAAACTTTTAATTTGTGTTACAGGATAAGAAAAAAGATGCAGTAAAGAAGGTGATTGCTGCAATGACTGTTGGGAAGGATGTTTCATCACTGTTCACAGATGTTGTGAACTGCATGCAAACAGAAAATTTGGAGCTGAAGAAGCTTGTTTATTTGTATCTTATAAACTATGCTAAAAGCCAACCTGACCTAGCAATACTTGCTGTAAATACATTTGTGAAGGTAATGCTTCAGTTTTCTTATTAGCTGTTGTAGTTGTTGCTATCTTCATAGAAATCCTTGTTAAATGATGTATAGTAGCTAGTGTGTCAGTTCTATTCATTCTATAATCCTTGAGGTTAAGGAAGTGTGGCTTGAAAAAGGCTGTGATCAGGTAATTAGAAGTCATTCTACCAGAAAAAGTAAAAAAAGGTAATTAGAAGTCATAAATAATTTTGATTTTGAAAAGTAAAAATGATATTTTTGGTAATTAGTTTGAAATATATCATAAATAATAATTTTAGGATTTTTTACAAGTAGTTAAATACTAAAACCCAGGGTCCTCCGCAGAAATGAACCCAATAGTCTGGTCCATAGGGGGCCAGTTTGGTCCAGCCAGCCTTCAAAGAAAGCCAGGACTGTTGGCGATGAGCATGTTCATACACAGGCCACTCCGCCGGTAGATTCGGGTGGTCGTATCTGCGCACAGACAATACCTCTTCAGTCTCCTAATCCTTCTTGTTCGAAACTGTCACCAACCATGGAGGCTACAAGGTTGGAGGTGCAACACCTTTCTTTGGTGCGGGTGGAAGAGAATCTGATAGAAGCTACTCCAATTGCTGTGGTGGGTACTGATGAACAGTTCGAAGACAGGGGAGAAGAGCTTTATCAGTCTAATTCACAGGAAGGAGGGGGAAGAAAATTTGACCTGCGAGAGCCAATTGGAGATCCAGCTCATTCGGGAAACAACAAAGGTAAGGCACCTAGCTCGACAATCCAGGGAGATAAATCCTCCAATATTTCCGCCTCCTCTTCTTGGGTCTCTTCTAAACTTATGGGTTTGGGAAAATTCTTAGGAGTTTTGATGGAGGGGATGGAGGATGAAACAATTAAATTTTTGGAGGGGGTAGAACAAGAATCCTTATGGAGAGAGGGAAACTTGTGGCAAAGAAAGGAGGAACAAATTCGAAGAGGAGCAGAGAGATGAGGCTTACTTGGGGCCTAAATGATAAGGCAGGTAGTAGTGAGGGGACGTCGAGGGAGTAAAGAAAGTTTAAGTTTGAGGGTTGCTTTTGATCTGTTCTTGCAGTGTTCTCATGGATTTAAAAATTTTATCTTGGAATGTAAGAGGTTTGGGCTCAAGTAGAAGAAGATTAGTGGTGTGTGAGTCTCTGAAAAGGGGCAGGTTAGATGGAAATCAAAATCTGCAGTGGGTAGTGCAGGGGGTTTGTTGAGCCTTTGGGATCCGTCTTTTTCCGGCTTAATCTCCTACCACACTGGGAATTTCTCAATTTCTTTAGTGCTGAAATTCTCAGATGGTAATATCTGCCAAGTCACAAATGTTTATGGTCCTACAGATCGGAATCTTCGGGTTGACTTTTGGGAGGAATTGGTAGAGGCAAGGGGCACACTGACTTATCCCTGGGTCATTGGAGGTGATTTCAATGTTATCCTGTCTGTTGAAGAAAAGAATACCAGAGGTAGGAGATCAAGAGCGAATGTTCAGTTTGCTGATTTTATTAACAGGTTTCAGTTGATGGACTTCCCTCTTCAGGGTAGTCGATTTACATGGACCAATAATCAAGACAACCCCACTCTGGTGAGACTAGATAGGTTCTTGGTCTCTTCAAGTTGGGAGGAGGTGTTTCCTGATTTTAGCCTGATTGCCCTCCCTAGGCCAGTCTCAGATCATATTCCGATTCAGCTTGTCGGTGGCTATAGAGGTAAAATCAAATCTCCGTTCAAGCTCGAGAATGCCTGGTTCGAAGATGAGAAGCTTATTCCCTTGTTGAAGACTGTATGGAGAGACCTTCAGGTGGTGGGCACTAGCTCCTTTATTTTGGAAAAAAACTAGGTGCAATTAAAGAGATTAAAAATTTGGAAATTGGAGAATAACTTGAGTTCAGAAACAGAAAAGAGAGCTTTATTGAGCATCATTGAGGAAATTAATTCGGCAGAAGAGGTAGGTCCCTTATCAGAAGAATTGAGGTTGAAGAGATCCCAGGCAAAAATTAATTTTGATAAATTGACTGCCAAGGAAGAAATCAAGTGGAGGCAAAGAGCTAAGGTGGTTTGGTTGAAGGAGGGGGACAAAAACACTCGCTTTTTGCATAAAATGGCAAACACCAGAGCTAAAGTTTCCTCAATGAGCAAGTTGGAGTGGGAAGGCCGAACAGGGGAATCAGATGTAGAAATGAAGGTGGTGGCAACTACTTTCTATAAAAGCCTTTATAAAGAATTTTGGACTCTTAGACCTTTTTCCCAAAAACCTTCCTCTCAAGCAGTTGAGTGATGATCAGAAATCTTTCCTTGAGAGACCCTTTACGGAGGAGGAAACCAAGGGTGCCATTATCAAGTTGAAGGATGATAAATCCCCATGGCCGGATGGTCTCACCAATCTCTTTTATGTAAAATGCTGGGATATAATGAAACAAGATTTGATGAATGTCTTCCAGGCATTTTATGCAAATGCTTCTCTGCAAAGAAGCTTAAATACTACCTTTATCACTCTCATTCCAAAAATTGAAGGGGCTGTAAATATCAAAGATTTCAGACCAATCAATCTCCTGCACAGTTTTTACAAGATCTTGGCTAAAGTACTAGCTGAGAGAATGGAAGGGGTGTTAGGTAGTGTAATTTCAAACAATCAAAGTGCTTTTGTCCCGGGAAGGCAGATGCTTGATTCTGTACTTATTGTTAATGAGTTCATTCATTCAAGAAGAAGAGAGGGAATCCCTGGCTTGATTTGTAAATTAGATATTGAAACGGCCTACGACCATGTCAATTGGAGATGTATTGATTCTGTGTTGCAGCACATGAATTTTGGGCAGAAATGGAGGAATTGGATCAAAATATGTATAACCTTTCCTAAATTCTTAGTCTTGATTAATGGTTAGTCAGCGGGGTTTTTTGACAGTTCAAGGGGTTTGAGACAGGGTGATCCCCTCTCCTCCATACTCTTTGTTTGTGTTATGGACATTCTTGCTCTTTTTTGCAAGAAGGCAGCTGATTCTGGTTGTTGGGATGGTTTTGCAATGTCCCCTGAGGGGGAAAGGTCAATATCCTCCAATTTGTAGATGATACATTATGCTTTGTGGATGCTTCTCCTGCTCAGTTGGATCTAGTCCTTGGGATCTTAACCTGGTTTGAGGCAGTTTCTGGGCTCAAAGTTAATTTGAACAAAAGTCAAATCGTTCTAGTGGGCCAAGTTGCCAATTTAGAAGACTGTGCTGAGGTGCTGGCTTGTCAGATTGATTTCCTCCCTATGAAATATTTGGGCCTGCCCTTGGAGGCAAATTGGTCTTCCTCCTCGGTTTGGGACCCAGTCATTGAAAGATTGGAGAAAAAATTAGCTTCTTGGAAGGCAAGATATCTCTCTTTTGGGGGCAGGGTTACTCTGATAAAATGTACCCTTTCTAATCTGCCCACATATTTCCTGTCTCTTTTCCCTATCCCAAACAAAGTAGCGAAAAGATTGGAGCAGCTTCAGAGGAATTTTCTTTGGAGGGGTTGGGAAGAGGAAAACAAAATTCGCCTAGTCAAGTGGGACCAAGTGTGTCTTCCCAAGGCAGAAGGTGGCTTAGGAATAAGGAAATTGAAGAGTTTTAATTCAGCCCTTCTAAGTAAGTGGATTTGGAGGTTCTCTTCTGAAAGGAATGCTTGGTGGAGATCTCTTATAGCTGGAAAATAGTGGAGTGGGGTAACTGGAGATCTAGGGACCCTCCTCCAATCTGGGGTAACTCCCTTTGGAAAGGCATCATGAAGAATTTCTCTATTTTCTTGGAAGGAATTTCAATCAAGATAGGCAAAGGGGATAGAACTAAATTTTAGAAGGACCCTTGGTGTCTGGATGGCCCACTAGCTGATTTCTTTCCTCTCCTTTTCCAATGTGCTTCTAATCAAGATTCCTCAGTGGCTGAGAGTTATTTTTCATCTAGAGACTCTTTTACTTGGACCCCCTTCTTTAGGAGGAACTTGTTTGATTGGGAGTTGGAAGAGATTATAGAACTGATGGACCTTCTACAGAAGCAGAAGATAGACCTTTCCTTGGAAGATAAATGGTGCTGGAAATGGAACCCTGATGGTTGTTTTTCTGTCAAGTCTCTATCTTCCAAATTGTGCAGCTCAGGACCCACAGACTTTTCTGCTACTCAGATTTGGAATCCAACAAGTCCATTTAGATCCAACTTTCTGGTGTGGACTATGGCCCTAGACAAATGTCTGTCCAGATCTAATCTTGAGAGGCATGGCATTCAAATCTCGGATCCTTCTTGTGGTCTTTGTGGCGCCCTCCCAGAATCTAAAGATCATCTGTGTCTTCACTGCTCGGTCTCCTCTCAGGTGTGGGAGCACTTTCTGAATTCCATGGACATCATCTGGGTTATGCCTAGGTCGGTCAAGGAACTCCTGTGCTGCTGGAAAGTTAAAGGCCTAAGTAAAAAAGGAAAATTAGTGTGGAGGACCATCCCTGCAGCAGTCTTGTGGTCCATCTGGACTGAAAGGAGCAACCGAATTTTCTGTAATAGAGTTAAAAGTCCTAAAGAGATTGTGCAGAGAGCAGTGGGCAAGCTGATTTCTTGGGTGTCTGTTACTGAGGAGTTTAGACACCTGAATTTGCCTCTTTTGTTTCAGTGTCAGTCCTGTTGGAGCTTGTAACTTGTGTTGTCCCCAGGCTGTTTTCATTGGCCTGAGCTCTGTTTGTATGATCTCTTTGTTTGAATAAAATTACCTTACCTTTTCCAAAAGAAAATCAGATTTTTTTTTTCTATTAGCTAAACAAGGGATTCATAGACAATCCATTTTCTGGGCTTATTTGTAACTGGGATGGTTTATTTCCTTGGGTTTGTTGTTTCTTATCACAACTTCTTGTTGTATCTCTCCTTTCTAATTTAATGAATTATTTTCTTTTTGCTGATAAAAAAATCCAGATTTTTTCTATAGGCAACATAAACATAATTTCTTTCCTGATAGGCTAAATAGTGTATGTCCATTTACTACAACTAATAAGGTCTTAGCCTAAGGAG